AGCAACCCCCTCCCCCAAGTCCACCTCCCCAATCCCTTCCGCCTCAAGACCCTCCCGCCCTGCCCAGGCTCAGCCTTTGGACTGGAGCGTGAACCCACCGGGGGCTCCAGGGTCTGACTTCCAGCCTGGCCTCTGCCCCCCCCCCATCTGCCATGTTTTCTTTCTTTGGATATTTCCCATCCACCCTGAAAAGGCACCGGCCTGGGCAGCTCACAGGTAAAAGTCCCCACAACAGACACCCTGTGAGCAGTGTTCCCTCTACGCCGAGTGAGTGTGAGCTAGCTCACAGTTTTCTAGCCTCCGGCTCACACATTTTTGTCTCCGCTCAGGGAGGATGTGGCTCCAAAGCAAACTGATTTATGCAGTAGCCAAATCACTCACTCACAGTTTTAATGCCAGTAGTTTACAAAGTTGAAGTTTTGCTCACAAGACTCCACAGCTTAGAGGGAACATTGCCTGTGAGGTAGGTGGGGCTGAGAGAGCTCTGACAGAAACTGCTCTTTTTCAAGGACAGCTCTAGTCAGAACTACGGCTTGCCCAAGGTCATCCAGCAGCTGCAGGTGGAGGAAGAGTGGGGAATCAAACCCGGTTCTCCCAGATTAGAGTTTGCGCACTTAAGCACGACACCAAACTGGTGTGGGATGGCACAGAGCCCCGCCTGGAGATGCGGGGGGGATGGGGACGACCTACCTTTCTTCCTGTCCTGCAGGGGCCGTGTTCCTGAGGAGCGGGTAGTGGTGGAGGCCGGCGGGCCCGGCAAGCGAAAGGAGCCCTCCCGCGCAAAGCTGGTGCGCGTGGCGTCGAACGAGGCCGTCACGCCGCACTCTTTCTCCCGTCTCTGCTTGCGCTCCAGGCAGGCCGCGAAGGCGCAGCCCACGGCGTGGCTCAAACGCTCACCCTGCAGGGGCCAAAGGACACGGGCCGGCGGTCACAGCTCCCCCCCCCAGCCAAAGGGGGATTGGGGAGTCCCACCAAGCCCTCTTGCCTGCCCGTAGGACTTTGAAACACAAATAAAAACACACCGCTGGAGAAAGGAAGCCGCATTCTTGGAAGGGGTGTGAGGAATCAGGTTGGTGGGCTTAAGATCTTTTGGAGCAGGGGGCAGCCACTACAGGTATAAGGTTGTCGCGTGGAGACACACCTTTTGAGAGTCCAAATCGGCAATCCATAGATGCCCGTGGATGGGCACAGCCAGGTGGAACTCTGTCTGTCTGAGCCTTCGGCCCACCCAGGCAGAGGCGGAGTGCGGCGCCCCCCCAAGCCTCAACCTGACTTGTGCCAGGGAGGGGCCCACAGCGTGCCCCCCAGTGCCCCTCACCGAATCTTTCAGCGCCAGGAAGCAGTGGCAGATCCAGCGGCGGGTGGTGCCGTCCCGGCAGATGTAGGAGAAGGCCTTGTCAAAATTCCGGTCTGGCGCACAGAAGGAGACCTTCTCGATGGTTTGGTCCACAATGAGATCCTGAGTGAGGGGAGAGAGGAGGAGGAGGAGATTGGATTTATACCCCGCTCTTCACTACCCCAAGGAGTCTCGGAGTGGCTTACAATCTCCTCTCCCTTCCCCTCCCCACAACAGACGCCCTGTGAGGTAGGTGGGGCTGAGAGAGCTCTTTCGAGAACTGCCCTTGAGAGAACAGCTCTGAGAGAACTTGTGACTGACCCAAGGTCACCCAGCAGCTGCAAGCAGAGGAGTGGGGAATCCAACCCGGTTCTCCCAGAGGCGACCCCTTCGTCTCTGACGGGAGAAAGCGGGAGCGCCGGCAAACGTGGAGGGGAGGGCAAAGGTGGGCTCCGCCTCCCAAGGTACATCAGTCTTTTCCGGCTCTTCCTTCACATGCCGGAGAACCAAAAGGACCTTCGATGGAAGACAGTTTCCAGCCCTCCCCCAGGGGAGGGCTCACTTGGATCGGGGCCGGGGGCTTCAAGAAGAGGCACTCCTGGGTCCCCCCCACACACACACTTCAGTCCTTCCTGTTGCATACCTTGGTCTTGTCGTCCACCACACGCAGCCCGTCTGCTGAGACCCACAGCACGGACTTCACTGACTTTCGGCCACTCTGTGGGGACAAGGACAGGGGCGGCTTGACTAAGGGGGGGCCCCCAACATGAAGCCCCAGCTGAGGCACGGGAGGAGGAGTTTCCGGGCAGGGAGTGGGAGCAGGAGGCGGCTCCTGGAGCAGCCGGACCGAATCCCAGGGCAGCAAGCATGACTGCGGCCCTCACTCAAGTGGTCATGCCGGGGGAGGGAGGGTGGGCTCCTAGCCCGTCCGGTCTGGGCCCAGAGTGCCTCCTGGCTGCTCCCTCCCTCTCTGTGGATTCAGAGGCACGCAGCAGAGCTGGGCCCCGTTTCCCCAGCCAAGCAGAGTGCTCCGCAGCACCGACTGCCTGCCTTCCGCACAGACAAAGCCATAAGGAAGGAATACAGCCCAGCGACCGAAAGACAGAAATATAGCCTGGGCAAAAGGCTGCATAGCCGACTTTCCAAGACAAATGTCATTGTATTTACTTGTTACGACCGAGAACTATCCTATTAGATTGGACAGGAAACGTGGCATTTAAATCCGTTTATTATAAGAATAGCCACTGAGAAGAAACTGGCGTTTGTATTTTTGCCGCTGGTTATGCAGCATTGAGCCTGGGTTATATATTTGCGTTCCGCACAGGGGCTGGTTCACAAACGTGCCTGAATGAGGCAAACCTGGCCGGACACACGTGAAATAGCAGAGCCTCAAGCACAGAGTCAAGGCCAGCTCCCTGTCCAGAGGCAGGAAGGCAGCCCTCGAACCCCGGGCCAACCAGGGGGCAGGGGGCAGAAACAGAGCCAGAGAGAAGAAAGGGGGCAGTAAGGCAGATGGGGAGGGGGGTGGGTGCTACAAGCATGGATGGCTTCAAAAGGGAATTAGATAAGCATATGGAGCAGAGGTCCATCAGTGGCTATTAGCCACAAGGTATAGCTAGGGGCTCTGGGGCAAGTGATGCTCTGTCTTCTTGGTGCTTGGGGGGGGTCAACAGTGGGAGGGCTTCTAATGTCCTGGCCCCACTGGTGGACCTCCTGATGGCACTGGTATTTCTGGCCACTGTGTGACACAGAGTGTTGGACTGGATGGGCCTTTGGCCTGATCCAACATTGGCGTCTCTTATGTTCTTATGACACAAGTTGGTGCCCGGTGTTCCCTCTAAGCTGAGCTAGTGTGAGCATGCTCACAGTTCTTTAGCCGCCGGCTCACACATTTTTGCCTTTGCTCAGGAAGGACGGGGCTCCAGAGCAAACGGATTTATGCAGCAGCCAAAAATCGCTCGCTCACGACTTCAATGCCAGCAGCTCACCAAGTAGGATTTTTGCTCACACGACCCCCACAGCTGGTCCAGCCTTTAAAATCTGCCCCCCCAGTAGAAGCCCCATCTAGAAGGCGTGGTGCCTTTGGGGCCCCTTCCGAGAAGTGCCCCGGTGTCTCAGGGGGACTGATCCAGACTCGTCCCCAGCCTTGGAAGGCCACCCCATCATGCCCTTCCTGCACCACCTGGGTCAAAGCAAGAGGGAGAGGTGCCGCCGGCTGGCTCCCCCGACCCCCAAGGTCAGACATCTCACAGTCACGGTCAAGTCACATGAGGGAGGGGGTGCCTGGTGTGGGGCTGGGGAGCGTCCAGGGGAGACCACCTTCTGCCTTGGGGTCTCCAACCCTTGCCCGACAGCCAGTCTTGCAGCGGGCCGTCAGGGCTCCCGCAAAACACACCTCTGCTCCTTACAGTGCCACGGCGTGGCCCAGGGGGACGCCAGGTGTGCCGTGGAGACATCCAGAGCCCCCTTCCCGACCACCTGCCCACCACCAGATGAGCCCGCCACCCCCCACACACACACACACTCACTCACTCACCGCTTTCAGCTTCTTCACGGCTTCTTCACACACGTGCATGCCCCGGGACTCCTCCACCTCAGCGTGTCCCAGGTACTGCATGCGGAGGAGAAAGGGGTGTGTGTGTGTCAGCACACGCTTTTGTTCTCCATGCCCCCAAACAGGAACAGGATGCCAGTGCGAATCTCACACACCCGCTTCCAAGAGCCTCACGCCACTCCAGCCCGCTGCCTCCAAACAGGCTGTGCCGGATTGACGCTTCCAGGCAAGGAACGCACATTCTGCACGCTCTCAGAGACACCTGCTCCTCCTGCGAGGTGGGCCAGTCCACACCCCCATTTTGAAGGCCAACAAGTGCCCAGGAGAGCTGGGGGGGGGACTCGCCCAAGGCGGCCCTCCACACCCCGCAGGGCCACAGTGCCCGGCCACCCGCCCGTGCCCAGCGCCCCCCTCACCCGGACTGGAAAGCTGCAGCGGCCCTTGCGCACCGCCTCTTCATCCGCTTGCCACTGGTGCGGTCGGCTGGCCTCCGGGACGTAAGCCGGCTTCTTGCGTCTCAGGCTCTGGCGCAGCTTGTTCATTGCTGACCCTCCCGTGGGCCTGCGGGTGGAAAAAGGGGCATCGCTGGCAAGAGGAGACGGGCACAGACCCAAGGATGCCAGGGAGCCAGCTGCGGGAAGAGGGTACTTGGGACCAGAGAGCTGTCTACCTCCGCGGCTGGCTGCTCTCAGGAAGACAACCACTGTGCCGCCCGTCT